AGGAAAGGATCGAGCTGGCAACAAACAAAACTTCAGTACATTCAGTTTGAGATCTTAGGGTGGTAAAATTCAAGAGAGTATATCCAGTAATATTTGGACACTCAGAGGCAGGTCATGGCTAGCAATATAGATTGGGGAATCATTAGCCTATTAGCAGTTGTTAAATCTATAAAAGTGAATAGAGTTGTCTAAGGAGAATATGTTGAATGAAGTACCATGGGCTCAGAGTGGATCTCTAAGGAACACCAGTGTTTAGGAATGGGTAGGAAAGGAGGAGGCTTAGAAAGATTTGGTAGAAACTATCAGAGATGTGAAAGTGTGTGTGCGTGTGTGTGTGTGTAGCACAGTCAGTGTGGAGAGTTGATTGGAGGGAGACTAATGACATTTTGATTTATAACTGTAACTAGTGTTTCTTCTTTACTCTAAACCAAGGTTGGCAAACTTTTGTAAAGGGCCAGAGAATAAATATTTTAGGCTTTATTGGTCAAATGGTCTCTTGCAACTACTCAACTCTGCTGGAGAGTGCAAAAACATCCCTAGACAATATGTAAATGAGTCATCATGGCTGTGTTCTAAGAAAACTTTTTAACATAGGCTAGATTTGGCCTATGATCCATAGTTTGCTGACCCTGCCCTAACAGTTGCCCCCTTGACATCATCCCTTGCATATGTCAAAGGCACCTTAAACTTATCAAAAATAAAACTCATGTTCTTTTCCTGCCAAAGCCTGGCACTTTTCTAGTCTTCCCTGTGTCAATGAACGGTATCACCGAGTCAGAAACCTGGGGGTTGTCTTTGACACCTCTCTTTCTCTTAACATTCCACATCTGATCTATCATCAATTCTTGATGATTTTACCTTGTAAGTATTGTTATCTTTTTAGTTCTCTCCCTGTCCATTGCCACCAACTTAGTTCAAGCTTTCTTTCTCATTTGATTATTATAGTAGCTTCTTAAGTAATCTTCTTATATTTACTCTTGCTCCTAATTGTCTACCTAGAGTAATCTTTTAAAAATGCAAACTCATCACTCAGTCCCATGTTTAAGCATTTTCCATGGCTTCCCATTACCCTAAGAATAAGGATCCAGATGTCTAAGGTCCTGCATGATCTGGTTCCTGCTTACCTCATAACCACATCTCGTTCTTCTCTCTCATGCTCTTTGTATTGCAGCCATAATGTCTTCACTTCAGTTCCTTGACTGACTATGCTCCTTCTTAGCACAGGATCTTTGCACATGCTGTGTCCTCTGCCTGGAATACTTTCCCTCTTCTCACCTTGTTACCGTTCCTTCAGAACGCAAACCAAAAGTATCTTTTCAGGGATGCTTTCATTAACCACTCCCTGCTCCCCTACCATAATAGGTGCAGTTCTCATAGCCATTTTCTTTGTCTTTCCTTCACAGTACTTATCAGAGTTTGGCATTAGACATTATGGTTTGGTTAATGTATTGAACTTCTGCATTTTAAGCTCCAAATCAGGGAGTGTATTTATTTTGTTCACATTTAATTTCATGTTGAGAGCATGGCACAAAACAGATGCTCAATAAATATATGTTTTAAGAACGAATGAATGAATGAATGAGATCATGAAAGCCTTGGGATATAGAAGGTCAAGGAGCAGGTAATCTCTGATGCAGAGAGAGAGAGAGAGTATAAAATCTGGATAGAAAAGTACCTATTGGAGTTTCTAATCCCTTGTATTTTGCAGTTTGAAGACATGATGCTCTTTACCAGAAGTGGTAGTGAGGTCCAGCTTGTGCTGTAGGTGTCCAGAAGTGGATGGGATGGGAGGAAATGGACATGTTGGATGTAGTACTTGGCTTAGAAAGGAAAGAGAGGGCAGTAGTTAGTAATGAACAGTATTACAGCGTTAAGGAACGATTATTATGTTTAATTGTTATTTGTTTTTAAGGATGGGAAAGACTTCTGTGTGTTTAGAGGTTGTAAGGGTAGAGAGAACCCCTTTTGAAAGGGAGAGGTTGAAGATAGAGAGGATTTTTCTACTGGAGCAAGGCTTGGAGGGGAATGATCTAGGGCTGAACAGAGGAGTTGAGCTTGCATAGGAAAAGGGACACCACACCCTTTGAGATTGGAAGTAAGGATAGGTGCAAATGCAATAAGGTGTATGGCTGGGCAGTTTGTATGGGCTCGAGTTTGTTGGAGAAGTAAGAAGAGACATTTTCTTGTGAGAACGAGGACTTTGGAGGTACACAGAGAATGAAAGAGAATGAGAGAGTTTAAGGAATCAGAAAGACGAGTTGACCAGGGCTGGTTTAAGGGCCATTAGTCCTCATTAAGGGCTCAGCTGTGGGTAGAATTCATGACTTCCTTATGGTAACTATCTGTGCAGTTGTGTGGCTTTTCTTCTTTAGTGTATATCAGCCACAGTCTAGGAGTGGTCATCTAGGGCCGAGCTTTTCCTGAATGGGTGCAATGGAAAGATAGGAGTATAGGAGT